GCTGGACGCTACCCAGATGAGCCACCCAGCCCACCGAAGATCCCTGGGGGTCAAAAAGCTCAGCTTGGGCCTAGGGGGCGGGGGTGTGCAGGAGACACCGTATGGTGGGGTCGGTCCTACGGCAGCATCGGAACAAGTTTCATTCTAAGCACCCAGGCTACGAGGAGGCATGACCTAGGGCTGCTCCCAAAGGATGCTCACGCTCCCTCCGTGGCTCACACACGCTGAAGGCAGAGCCTCCTTGCACACTCTCACACTCAAGCCCGCACGCACAGACTCACCCCCCAAGAGCGGTGGGGATGCCACGCACACGCACTGATGCACTGGCACTCACCAGTGCAACCCACGCACACTCACGCATGTGCCCAAGGGCAGACAGGCAAGTGCACGTGTGCACGGCCACACACGAGTGCAATCACGCGCATGCACACTCACGAGCCCTGACACACGCACACTCACGCACAACAGCGGCCACGATCCAGCGTACTCCCGCAGCACGCCCACTCACCCACGCCTCCGCAGTCCTGCAGCGGTACACGAGGGGCCCCACCTGCACCCGCCCCCGCCCCCACGCCCACGCGCGCTCCTGGCTCCGGCTTCACCTTCCGCAGCCCCGCGGACAAAGGCCAGAACGCCCAGCCCGGAGGCGCACTGCGCCTGCGCGCCGGAGGCTCCCGAACTACAACTCCCAGCATGCCCCACCGTCCGAGTTCACAGGCCCGGGGCGGTCCCAGTCTTGCCCGCGCCTGCGCAAACGGAACTTTATAGCCCCGCCCCCCACCTCCTTCGGATCCGGCGCAAAGAGGGCTAGGGGCTTCCCGGTGTCAGGCGGGGGCTCGGCCCGGGTCGGGCTTGGGCCCTGCCTGCGGGGCTGCCCCGCTGAGCAGGTTCACAGAATTAAAGGGAAGTCGGGCTTTTCCGTTCTGGGCCCTTCTTCGTTTAGAAAGATTTGTCCAAAGAAAGTGTTCCCCTCCCCCCACCCCCCCGTACCGGCCGCAGCCGGCGCTCGTAGGGCGCTCTGACGCCGGCGGGGGCGCTACACATATCCCACCGGACCCTCGCAACAACCCGGGGAGGGGCTGCTGGGGTTGGCCGCCTTTTACAGACGGGGAAACTGAGGCAGGCCGAGTGACGCGGCCGGGGTCGCCCCGCTGTAAGCGCTCGCTGAGGCGCCACCTGGCGGCCTCGGAAGCTAGTGCCGAAGAGGCGGGTCCTGACGCCGCGGCTGCCCGGAGTCGGGCTCCTGGGGGGTCGGTGCCCTCGGGGGGCGGGGTGGGCAGCCGTCCTGGGGGCAGCAAGGAGGGGCAGACCGGCCAAGCCCAGGCGGGGGAGGGCTCCACGGGAGATGGTGGCCCACGTGGGCGGGGGGCGCGGCCTGGCTGGGCACATGGGTGAGGGTATAGCCCATCTCGGCACGT